ATTTTAAATTAACAATAATTCAATCAGGATTTAACAAGTTAGAAAAGCAACAGTTAATTAGACCTGTGCTTTTAATCATCAATTACATGTATCGATTTAGATTTTGACAATAATTTATTTTGAATTAATAACAGTCCATTCGAGTTTTAACATGCTAGAAAGATGGATAAGATGTGCTTAATTATATGTGTTAGTCTTTCATTAACAAATATACATTTAAACTTTCACAATAATTCATTTGAAATTAACATCAATCTATTCTGGTTTTAACAAGTTAGAAAAACTAATAGGATGAACTTAATTATACATATTAGTCCTTCATTAACAAGTATCAGTTTAATTTTTGACAACAACTTATTCATGATTAACAATAATATATTCAAACTTTTAATAAATAAAATGCATGAAATTTTAAAACTCTTAATTTGTAGTTGTCCATGTCAAATTAACAAGTAATATTTATAAAATAACAAATTTCATTCAAAAATTAACAACACACTACTTATATTTTTTGCAATATATAATTAAAGGACTTGATGGTCTAGTGGCAACCAATTTTTTTAGGTGGCCAGGAGTCGTGAGATCAAACCCTTCTTTAGCCACCTAAACAATTATTCCTTGAATAAATATGTCCCTAAAACTTCGGTGATCGACCGTCAGCAACCCCGCTTGTTATAAGGGCTCTGATGACCTTGCCGACAGTAGGGGTTTGTCAGCCGGCACTGGTGACAATGTGTTTTCTTTTTTCTTTTTTGGCTCTTAACTTGAGGAGCAATTTTATCATTTTGCTTACAAAATTAATATAAAAAGAAGAATCAGAGGATTGTAGAGCAAATACCAAATCATTTGGTTCTTGTGTGATATAAATTTGACACAAAGATCCTTGGATGCTATTTTCCCAAATAAAAATCAAGAAGCAAAAATTAATATTAATAAAAAAGAAAACCAACATACCAAAAATAAGTTGCCTAATTTTTTAATTTCTCTGTTAAGCATGATAATTTATAAATGCATATTGAATTAATTTTAATAATTTATATTCAAAATATACTTAAATTAAATTATGATTATATTTTATATTTTAATTATTTAATCATATATTTTTAATAAATATTTATTAATAGACATAAATTTTCATAAATTTATAATTTTAATCTATATTTCCGTCACAAGTTTATTTAAACTTGTGTTTGACATCCCCATACATCCACGGGATTTACTCTAGTTAAAATAATGGAATAAAGACAAAACGTTTAAATCAAAGTTTACTGCGAGTTCAATTTATACAGACAGTTGTTTGTTTTTAAATCGAACGTGTACAAAAGAGTTTTGAACTCGTTATCAAGTCAAAATCAAGTGCATTTAAGTCAGGCATAAAAAAGTATGAGCAAGAGTTCGGGTTAGTTGGCGAGACAAGCATATGAAAATGCATGTAGGCATTAAATATTCAATATTGAACTGACTTCGACTAAATTATTATTATCAAAATAATGAGAAAAGTTACATCAAGTCACCAGCTTCTAGCCTTGAACTTGGAGTTTTCTTTGATAAGTTATGGTGATTAGCGGCTCAGCTTGTCCGCGTATTGATTTTAAAACCACGCTCTTCCATTCCATCACTTTCCAAAGATCGCCCATTTTTACTTGTTTGAATTATAAAACAAATCAAGTTGTGCTCCTTAACGTCACAAGTATTGAATTTTAGCTAATCGAATATTAATTAAAAATGTGGCGTTCTTATCACTATTGGCAGCCTTTATCCAATGTGCGTGCGATCAAACCTAAGTTTAGAAAAGCTTATCTAAAAAAAAAAATGATCGGTTAAAAAAGAACCAGGCTATGCATATTTTTTTTTGGCTACACCATGCTACGTATATTGCACAGTACATGATAGAGAATCAGGAGAAAATGTCACATAGTTGAGGCCCATAAGAACCGAAATGGGCCTAAAAACCCGACTTGAAACTAACCAAAGTGGATCGCGCTGTGAATTTGCTATACTGTACATAGGAGAAAATTGTTTAGAAGGTTTAAAAATTAAGGTATTGAAACCTAAATTAGCCATTGAAGGGACTGATTCACTAATTTGACCAACCAACCTGGGTTGAGTTTTAATATCTGTTCGTAAAAAAATAATCAAGTATGGTGTCGTGAGACGTTTCAGAGATATGGGGTCTCAAAAGGATGAAAGAACCTAATTTCTAATCAAACGCAGGGAACTCGGGCTCCCTTACCACAATTCACTCAGATGTGAGAATGCGAAGTGAAGAACATCAATGTAGATGTAGAAAAATAGAGATACATTAATTAAAGAAAGAAGTGGCGAGCTATGCCTACCGTACAATGAAAAATAAAAACTAAAACTACATGATAAAAGAAAAAAAATAGCAAACACGGAGTCTGAGACTAGTAGTTTGTTGATGCTAATGATATTATTGAAAGATGACTCCTCTATTTATAGATAATCTTAACTTGTTGCCTAAGCCCATGATCGCTAGTTTCCTTGAATTTAGAAAGCACTTCCTCATGGCCACTTATAATGGGTAGAGTATGGATGGTCTTGACTTAGTGACTAAAGTTTCATAAATATTTTCTTTAATTATTTTAAAGTCAATTAAATTGAGTTGAGCCTGGGCCTTCAAATTCACAATTTGGGTGCAAATAATGCTCTCTGCACACAAATTGGCTGAAGCCTTTGTAGGCCAATTTTGTACGAATATGTCTTGGAGCACCGACTCATTCTCGTTCTAATTGATGGTTGATCTGGTATTTTTCTTGAATTTGATTAAGGATTAAGGACCACGTGGTCTTGCTTAGGATAAAGTTTCTCAAGGTTTGGGACATTAAGAGCTAGTTTTGGAATTAGCCCTTCAAGTTTTTTGAACTTTAAAGATTGGTTCTGTAAAACTTAATTGCTGTAGGGCTTAACCTTGTGACTTTTGCCCCTGTGGAGAGAACCCTTTGAGAGAGAGTTCTTGTGGAAATGGCCCTTGCAAAGCTCACTTTTCTGACTTCAGCCCCTGTGGTGCTGGCCTTGATGACTTTGTCCTCGATGGTGATGGCTTTGGCCTTTGTGGCTCCGGCCCTTATGGTGTTGGCCTTAATGACTTTGGCCCTCATGGCTTTAACCCCTTTGGTGCTGGTCTTGATGGCTTTGGCCCTTGTGGCTCTAGCCTCTCTGGTGCTAGTGCTAATGGCTTTAGCCCTTGTGGCACTAGCCCCGATGACTTTGACCTCAATAGTGTTGGCCTTTATGACTTTAGCCCCGATGGCTTCAGCCCTTATGGCTTTGAGGGATGTTATAGTGGTTCTCATTATTGATCTTCTGGTCGAAGGGCACTTTAGGAGACTGCCCTCCGAGTGCATCTATTCTTTGAAGGTGCGAGCCAATTCAAGCTTGCTCTTGCGATAACCTATACAACATAGCAGAGATGTTCCTTAACCCATCCTTTAGAGTTTGCAACAGAGCTTTTTGCCTCTCGTTAGCTCGTACTTTACGTTTTGCATGTGCACCCACGTTCTTTGAGTTGTAAGACTCAAGTCTATTCTTCCCAACAACATATTGATCTTTACGTATCCTAGGCATTCCTTTCACACAGGTCCCACCAGGCCTGCCAAAAATTGTTCATAAAAAAAAAATCAGGCGTGGTGTTGCGAAGTATGCTAGAGACGTGAGGTCTTAAAAGAATGAAAGAACCTGACTTTTAATCAAATGCGGGAAACTCAGACTCCCTTATCACAGTTCATCCAAATGTAAGAATGCGAAGTGAAAAATATTAATGTAGATATAGAAAAGTAGAGATACATTAATTAAATAAAGAGGTGGCGGGCTATGCTGGCCGTACAATGAAAAATAAAGACTAAAACTATATGATAAAAGTAAAAACAAAATAAAATAGTAAACAGGGAGTTTGAGACTAGTAATTTGTTGATGTTAATGATATTGTTAAGAGAAGGTTCCTTTATTTATAAATGATCTTGATTTGATACCCAAGCCCCATGATCGCTAGTTTCCTTAAATTTAAGAAGCTCTTCCTCATGGCTACTCATCATGGATAGAGTGCGAATGATCTTGACTTAATGGCTAAAGCTTTATAAATATTTTTTTAATTATTTTAAAGCCAATTAAATTGAGTTGAACCTGATCCTTCAAATTTACAATTTAGGTGCAAACAATATCATATTAGGTAACATTCTATATGACCGGCTATGAACAGTGAGGACGGTGCTGCCTGGCTATCACTTTAAGAGGAAGGTGGTGTCATGTGTGCGATGAGGCAGAAAGAATGAAGAGATGCTTCAACTGGTAATTGACAAGTCCTTTAAATGAAGTTGTAAGTATTTTTATTTTATATTCACCTTTGTTTTATAAATACAAGACAAAATTAATACGTCATGAGAAATACTAACACTTCGGGTTCAACTTCACCAAGCTGCTAAAACGAGTTCAAGTGCTTATTTGCTGATTCTCGGCGTGAAACGCAACCGAGGCTGAGGATTCAAGTTGTACAAATGAACAGGTATATATCAACAGCTTACAGCTTCGATTACATACATGCGTTCTCAACTGCCGTAGGATAATGTTCTCGTTTCTTTGAATCATCAGCCTACGTAATCCACCTTTGTAGCCATTCTAATATGTAATTAAATTTTTCCTAAAAGAGCATGATTTTCCCACCCCAACAGCATAAAATAATAATTGAGAACTGTCTCTATCCTTCCGCTGTAATTGATGAATCTAGGATCACCTGCCGGAGTTCTGACAAGTTTTTTCTGTCAGGAGGAACTGGTTCTTCCTTAACCCCAAAAAAAAAAAAAACAAAAATGGAAATTGCGGTGGAATAACTTAAATTCCAAGTGAAGGAACATTGACGCCTGAATATGATAATGGAAAAAATGGACGCAACCTAATTGGACCGTGAAAGTTTACCCGACAAGAAGATTTTATACGAAACGTTAAACCAGGTAATGACAGCCCAAGAAGATACATGAGGCTTGATATTTAAGTCTAAGTTTGACAATTAGATCATTCTGGGAATTGCAAGCATTTTTAAGTAAGGAAAATCTTGTTTATTACACCAACTCCGGACACTGAAAATTGAGTTCATCTATTATAACTTACAGAGGTTTGGTGTAATACAGCACGCAACAAAAAGAACCTCCAAAACAACAAATGAAATCAGCTACAAAGATTTGGTATGCACACCCCAGCATCAGGATTCTGTTGTTCTTTCCAAATTCTTCCCGTAACTCTAAGCTTGAGTTCCTTCCTATCCCCACCAGAGAAAAACAAGGCCATATTTCGCTGGATAATAAGGCCATCATGGCTATCCCTAACTTTCCGGTGGCTATCGCGAATACTTCGGGGAGTACCCTCCCATATAAGTTTCCTACCATTTGCCCCAACCTCTAGGCTATAACTGTAGCTTCGAGCTTCGTTCTCATCACCCATGAAACGAAGGAATGCCATGTACACAGGAGCCATGCCAAGCTGAAAAGCTTCGAAATGAAGGCAAAAGTACTGGCCAAAACAATGAAAGACCTAACAAAGATAAAACAGAATGATGTACGGAGGAATATGCTTAGACAAGACGACCATAGCTTCTCATTAGTCAAACAAAATACCATTGTATTTAGTAAATTTTCTACAATGTAATCAAAGTTGATTATTTAATTGGTTGACTGAGCCTTAAACGTGATTCATCCATTTGTATATACAAGTGCATTTGCAACTAGAAGAGTTAAAATGCTTTCCACCAAAGCGAGGTGATCTCTCTCCAGAACTTCCACACTAAGGGTTTATGAACAAATGGTAGTAATTAGACAGTACTGTAAATAAGTTGTATATCAATTATTTCATAGTTAAAAAGGATTAGTCTAAAAGGAAAAATATGACAGCATAACAATTGACAAGCCAGCTGAAGGAAAGATATGCAAGTCTTACCGTGAGCATCCAAGTTGCATTCTCTACTTCACGGGGATTTGATTTCACGTACCGGTGATTGAAAGTACAACCTGTGTGCATATCTACCTTATGATCGTCCCTCAAATGAGCAACAAGGAATGGAATATCCCCAACAACAGAGCATTCAGATCCAGCATAAGGACAATTGTATGGTCTGAAATTGCAGACTGCCTCATGCTTGAGCTTGCTGTAGTAAGGAAAGATTTCGGGGCATCCAAGGGAATAGTACTTGCATGGTAACTCGAGTGATTCAGCCACCTTCTCTAGTGCTAGACACCTAATATCTCCAAGTTCTTGTCTACAAGTAGGACATCGGTTGTGAACTCTCGTTTTGCATGTGGAACACAGTGTGTGCCCATTGTGGCACTGCAAAGAAGCTCATTGTTAGCTGTTACCCTAAACTTTTAGAAAAACCAACATTTCAACATGTAATATACACAAATTTAATAGTGTGAGGCAATGAATCAATTTTCATAAGATTAATTAACTTATTCTTCACCTCAATCAAAGAAATAAAGACAGGAACTGGACTAAAAGAAAAATAAAGCTTTAGAGACAAGAAAGTCTTGGCCTAAAACACACAGACCCACAGTTCGTTGATAAATATTACAGTTCAAAATAGAAAAATACTCACACGTGTACACATATTTAAAGATCAAAGTAAATTTTAATGACAAAAAGAAACTTTTACCATTTATTGGATATCTGAAGAGTAATTTTTTCATATTGGCTCAGAACTTGTTTTGTTAAGGATCCGATAGAGCAATTGTTAAAGGCCAAAAACAAAAACAATCCTTACTTTATTTTTTTTGCCAATTATTTGTTACTCAGTAAATACAGAGAAGAAGTCGCAAATGATAAGTTTTAATTCCATATTTCATTCCATCTATGATGAAGAGCTCACACAAATACTGTCCAGTCAGTTAATCTTAACACAAACTCGGATGACTAAATATTTCACCACCAGCATCTTAACGTTAATATCCAGGATGCATGCTAAGGAGAACGACACAGTAATGACCCTTCTGAAGCAGAAGATATCGAAAGTCCATTTTTATTTTTATTTAGCAATATTGATGATTACCACTTCCAGACCATACCTTTCTCATATCGAAAACTACCTCTAATGTTTGTAAGGAATCTGCTCCTTGTAACCATTTATTCAGTATAAAGTATAAACTCATGTTCCTGCATCTATTTAGCTATGGATGAGAACACATCTAAATGGAGCCTGACATGTCCTTTCAATTACCATTATCTGCAACAACAACAACAACAACAAGCCTTTATCCCACTAGGTGGGGTCGGCTACATGGATTGCAAGACGCCATTGTGCTCTATCATTTATTAAGCTTTTAGAAATATTATTAATTAAGAGATCACGTTCAACAACTTCCAAGAGTGTTCTCTTAGGCCTTCCTCTACCTCTCTTAATCGGACTCAAAGTTATATGTTCCACTCTTCTCACTGGTGCCTCCCTTGGTCTTCTTTGTACATGCCCAAACCATCTCAACCGATTTTCTACCATTTTTTCCTCAATAGGTGCCACCCTCACTTTTTCACGTATGTGCTCATTTCGAATTTTATCTTTACGTGTATGTCCGCACATCCATCGTAACATTCTCATCTCTGCTACTCCAACTTTATGCTCTTGCTGTCCCGTTAGAGCCCAGCATTCACTACTATATAACATTGCCGGTCTGATAGCAGTACGATAAAACTTTCCTTTAAGTTTATTAGGCACCTTACGGTCACAAATAACTCCTTTAGCTTTTCTCCAATTAAACCACCCAGCTTGAATTCTATGCGAAATATCTCCACTGATTTCGCCATCATTTTGAATAATGGCTCCCAAATATCTAAACTTTTCCACTTGAGGTATGATTTGATCTCCCAATTTCACTTCCAAATTATTTTCGAATAGTCTTTTACCAAATTTACAATATAAATATTCCGTCTTACTTCTACTCAGACGAAAACCTTTCGACTCCAATGTCCTCCTCCATAACTCAAGTTTGCAATTAACCTCTTCTCTTGTCTCTGCTATAAGAACTATATCATCCGCGAAGAGCATACATTTCGGGATTTCCTCTTGAATATGTTCCGTCAAAACATTTAAAATCAAGTTGAACAAATAAGGACTCAGAGATGATCCCTGATGTAGTCCAATCTTGATAGGAAAATCCTTTGTTTGACCACAAGGCGTTCTTATACTAGTTTTTACCCCCTCATACATATCTTGTATGGCTTTAATATAAGCAATCCGTACTCCCTTTTTTTCCAACGCTTTCCAAAGCACTTCTCTTGGTATACGGTCATAAGCTTTTTCCAAATCAATAAAAACCATGTGTAGATCTTTATCTTTACAACGATACTTTTCCATTAATCCCCTTAATAGATAAATTGCCTCTGTAGTTGATCTACCTGGCATAAAACCAAATTGATTCTCAGAAATACTTGTCTCCAATCTCAACCTGTGCTCAATTACTTTCTCCCACAATTTCATTGTGTGGCTCATGAGTTTAATCCCTCTATAGTTAGTACAATTCTGAATATCTCCTTTATTTTTATAAATAGGAATTAATGTACTTCTCCTCCACTCATCAGGCATTTTCTTGGACCGTAAAATCACATTAAATAATTTAGTTAACCATCTCACCCCTTCTTCACCTAAACATTTCCACGCTTCGATAGATATACAATCAGGTCCGTTAGCTCTACCATTTGCCATTTTCTTAAGAGCTTCCTTTACCTCCTTATCACGTATTTTTCGATAGAATGACAAATTTTGTTCTCCTACACCAGTTACTAAATCCTCCAAGTTACTAGATGAATCCTCTCCATCATTGAAAAGTTTAGAAAAATAAGTCTCCCATCTATTTTTAATTTCATCATCTGTAACTAAAATTCTTCCCTCTTCATATAAAAATATAATTTATTCCTATAGCCTAATAGAGAATACAGAAATGCAAAACCCCTAACGTTGATTGACAGTTGGTGCTCATGAATAATTGCCAAGTTGTTCAGTAAAACTCATAAGAAGGTTGAGATCGAACATTTGTGACTTACTTGTGGACTTCTCCTACTTAAGTCTGATCAGAGAGTATTCTTGCATTAATCATTTTTAAGTTTGAACTTTTTCCAAGATACAACCCAAGACAATACATCAACATATAATAGCATTAAAACAAACCCAAATATAGAGGTGATAACATGATACATTTCCCATGCACATTAAGTTGTAGATATTATATGTTACGCTAAAGTGCACATTCAATCCATATCCATCCCGAAGCATCTTTTTCATGATACACTGGATATATTTTATTTGCAAGTTAGAACTAAACACTTTAAGACATGAATCAAGAGAAATGATTTCACTGATTGAGTCAACATATGAATCAAGCCAATCAGAAAATCAAATAGTGCTGTTATTATAATCCTTTAATACCAATATTTCTAACTGGGTGAATCCTAATATATTCAACCTTCTCTATCTAATGCACTTGACTAACCGAAACTTTGACATCTGACCAACTTGCAATCACTATGTGAAAAAGAAAAGGCTAATTTGCAGCATAAAGCCTTACCCCTTCCCGTATATCTGTTAAACTTTGAAATAACAACGTTAAACTAATTTAAGCAAGTTAGATGTCTCAACTTGGTACGTTTCATCGTAAGTTTCCTCACAATTTTACCAGCATAATCGCTTAACTCACATCCTTTCAACCTAACTCTCCTAGGCATATAGTTCTCTCCCAACGAGAACCAAATCCAAATTAGGAAACAAAACCTAGGGAGAATTAAGACCAAGAGATGTCACTAAACTTATCTGTTTCTGTATTTCAGGAAACCTCTTCAGCAAATTCATTCATTCCCACTTCAGAGCCGTCAAATTTACCAAACAAGTACGAAAAAAAAAAAAAGGAGCAATGAAAAGAAAACGATCCTCTGCCCCGATAAACAATCATACAAGAAAAAGTTGATGCAAGAGAATACAATAGAAATAGAAATCGTTGAGGGAACTAGCCTGATGAATTGGTGGGTACATTGAATTGGTACAGACAGGGCACTCCAGCAATTCGTGGACACTGGTTGCAGGAGCAATGGCCGTAGGACCCATAATATTGTTATTATTGGTGCCTCCATTGCGAGGCTTCGTTGAAGAAAACTCAGAATGAAGATGGGGGTGGGGATGCAGACTATGGTGTTGGATCTCATCCTCATCCAAGCCATCCGAGGATGAAACACACTCGATGCTGTCCAAGTCCATCACTCACCGAAAATCCCCTTCAAGTGGAGCGAAATAAGAAAGAAAGAAGCACACGATAATCAAAATCAGAAATTTCCCCAAAATTTATCCGGGCATTCCCCTCTCAGAATCTTCTTCCCTCAATTCTCTTCGTTCTCTTATTTTTCCTTTGCTTTTCCAGGAAATTTACAAGAGAAAAGAAGAAAATAGGAGAAGGAAGATGGGGATTTTCATGGATCGGTGAAACGGATGAGCGCGTGGATTCCAACAGAGCAAACTACTTTCTCTTGAAGAACAGGTTCCTTTCTTGGCTGGCTCCCTACCTCTGCCCCTGAGAGAGAAGAATAGCAACCGTTAAATTTCAGAAATTAACTGGCAGTTGGATCAATCCAACGGTGAATAAATTTCTTCTATTTTTATTTTTTTTAGTGTGAAATTTTTTTACTTTTTTTTTTTAAAAAAAAATTATGGTTGGTTAGGTGATAAAAGCAAAGCCAATACGGTACGATGTTTTAAATAATGCCCCTCGCCCCGCCTATAATAACAACTAGATTCACGTGTCCATGTCTTTTCTTTATTTTACGGTTTTGTTTTATTTTTAAACCAAAAAAGAATGTACTTGTACAATACTTCTATGCCAATATTTTAAAACAAAATACTTCTTGTGGAGTCGGTGAATATGTTATTTATTTAAAAGAATAAATATATGCACCATTGTGTGTATTTATGATTTGATTTGTGTCATTTTATGAAATTTGAATAGTTTGGACTTTTATTTTTAATAATATTTCATTTTGTGAAAAAAAAAATATTTCATCTGAAATAATTCAAAATGTATGACAATATCAATTTTATAATTATCAATTTAGCTTTAAAAATAAAAAAAGTAAGATAATAAGATAAAAACCTCAAAATATAGGTCATGTCCGCTGGCGTTGCACATCCCATCAAATCCAAATCTGCAAGCTCTCCCTTTCCTGATTTTGTTTTTCACTTTTTCTATGCCATTGGATTAAAAATAAAAACTTTGACATTTTTTTATAAAAAAATTATACTCTCTTCATTTAAAAATATAAAATATTTTTAATTAAATCTCACTCTCAAATAAAAGAGTTGTTTATTTTTAAATTAAATTAATTTTTTATATTTATTTTTATTAAATATCCTACAATAAATATAAAATTATTCATCAATGGGAGCACTTTTAAAAAAAGCAATGATTATATCTTAAAAGATTAAAAATACTTTATATTTTTTAACATTTAATTTTTTAAAAAATATTTTATATTTTTAAATGAAGGGAATATATGATTTAGATTATTTATTAATAAAATTTTTATATTGATAATGAGTTTTAAATTCACATAAATCAAGGGTTAAATTTTTATTAATTGAACAAAACATTGTTGGCTGAAATAATTGGCTATCTATTATTTTATTTTTGGTACGTGGGAAAAGGAAAATTACCGGACAATAAAAGCTGTTATCGGGAAAAAAAAAAAGAAAGTAGGCAGTCCATTACAGTGATTCTATTTTAGCTTGAACCTCCGTCTAAATAGAAAGAAAAGTTGAAAAAAAAAAATAAAAAATTATTATTTATTATGTTTTTTTACCAAAGTATTATTTATTATGTTTGAATTGGACAAGAAAAAATAAAAATAAATAAACAAATATCATAATAACTATAATATTCTAATATCAATATAGCTCATATCTAATGTAATTATCTTTGTAAAAATAAATTAAAAGAATAAATTATATTAAAATTAACATCATTAAATTAATTTAAAATTAGATTAGTTGTTAAAAAAATTAAGAAAGGTAAAGATGCGCATTATGTTTTTATTTTTAAAATTAAATTAATTATATTAAAATTAACATCATCAAATCAAATTATATTAAAATTAGATGTTAAAATTAAATTAGTTTTAGAAAGTTAAAGACACAAATTTTTATAAAAATCAAAATTTGATTGTTTGTGAGAAACTAATATGATTGAAGTGGGTAAAAGAAGAAGAGAGAAGGGAGGGTAGGTAGTGAAAATAAAATTTACTCTTGAAATCTCTATCTTTGAGGAGAAAAGCTGAGAGGAAAATATAAGGGGTCTCACACTTTATTTTTTTAAACTTTTTTCTCTTACTTTTTCTTCTGCATTCAAACAGAAAAAAATATTTTCTTTTTTTTTTATATATATATATTTTATGTTTTTTTTCCAACCAAATAGAGTATAAAAGACCGGTCAAGTTATAATTGTAATTTTCTCTATTTATACATTATTTTATTAAAAAAAGTAAAGAAAGCGTTTGGCAAAAACATATAAAAAATATTTATTCTTTTTATTTTTCCGAGAAAAAAGCCCGAGAAATAATGTAAGGCAACTTAATATGGAAAGCGAGACGTCAAGTCATAGTCACATAGATGGGAAGGTGTAATCACAGACACAGGACTAGACTAGACATTTGAAGCTCCAAACAAAAAATTGACATTAAAATAAAAAATGAAAATGTTTTATGAAGTGCATTTTTTCTCTTGTCAGTTCTTATTTTAATTTCATCGCTAGGAATGGTGGATGCAAGCTTTTGGTACAATCCGTGAAAGGCATATTGGCCCTACCAATCACTTTCTTTTATAGTACCCATTATTAATCCCATTAAATTAAAGACCAACACCCCAACATTATTTCGCCAAATAGAAAAACATCCCAAGATTTTTTTTTAAAAAAAGAATCATTAAGGGTTGGCCACCATGATTATTTATGGTGATACATTTTTAACATTGGGATTTGCTAAGATCGTGAGTTAGTTCCCCCCTCCAAAAAAAAAAAAGAATAATTTGATGAAAGTGGAACTCTTTAATCTTTAAACTTCGCTATTTATTTGCCTTAAACAAAAAAACGCACGGACCATGAAAAAAAACCACAAAAATTGTACTATGCACTTATATATATATATATATATATATTTTCCAGTTTTGCTCTCCATTTAACGCCACACTATTTTAAATCTTAACTACTATTTAATACCCTCCATCTAACAGGGATATTGTTAAAAATAAATAATAATTATACTTTCAAATTTGAAATATGACATATACTTATGACAAAATGAAAATTCAAATCATGATAAGTAAAAAGGAACAAAGGAAGTAATACTTTTCTCCTCACTATTTTTATATTAGTTTTTATTAGATGTACTTAAAGTAATACTCCCTCCGTCAAGAAATGTGAGGTGTTAGGTATTTAAAAATATTTTATATTTTTAAATCTTTTAATTATTAACTTTTTAAAAAATACCTCTATTAAATAAATTATTTTATATTTATTTTATAAAAAAATACCCTATTAAATAATGATAAATATAAAAAAGATAAAATTAGTTTGAAAATAAGTAATTACTTTATTGAGAGGGTGAAATTCAAATAAAAATATCTTATATTTTTAAATAAAAAAAGTATATATTATTAAAATTTGTTAACGATTTATAGAGACAAAGTTTAGAAGACACATTCTTGTATAGCTTTCCCTTTCTAATTCCTTATAAAAATGGAGAATGACCATAAAGTTTCAATATTAAGAATTCATAACAGTTTGTTTCTAACCAAAAGAAAAAATCAGAAGATAAATTAAAAATATTGACCCAAAATAGGAATTCCAACAGAAAATTAAGAATTACATTTAAAATTTTAACAATTTATTTATAATCAGAACTCCTAAATTTATAATAATTTAAATCATTATTTATAACTGACTTATTAAAAAATTGTCAAAAATTATCATTAATTTACTATCTTGAGTCCATTGATAAAGTTAACCCAAAATAAAATATCATGACAACTTGATGGCACATAAAGATGTGATAGAATACTATTCTTGGTTGACCTACCGCATTTTAGGAAAGTCTGGAAGGTATAATGAATTTAAAAGAAGCAAGGAAGCATCCATGCAACTATACAAGCATTATATATGATTATGAAGCTTCTCATCAAGTCATGGTGGCCACTAACACGTACAATCGTCACTAGTCAGATTCATAATCTTTAATTTTTAAATTTAAATAGATATATACATCTTGATATCAAACTCAGCATCAGTTTTTATAAACCAAGATTGGAGTCAGGTAACTACTAGCTGCCACCGAGACTGTTGGGAAGAACACAAAACAATGCTCATCAGACAAGGGTGTTGTTATCATCCATTTGAGTACACATTTGTTACCAAAATCCACTTGGACATTTGGAGTGAGCATGTTTAAATTATTCACTAAATGCACCAGCTTGTTATTATGTACAAAGGTAACTACAATATATGTATATATCAGCACAAAGTTACATGTTGGCAACAACAGAATGAAGTTCTGTGTCTGCTTCATGGTCCCCGTCTGAACCCTCTGTAGACTACATGCAGAAACAAGCATGGTTAGATTTCAAAAAGGTTGACAAGATAAGAATGAAGGAGGAAATTACATCATGCCAAATGGCTCATACCTCAATTTTACTTCCGTGTTCTTCAAGATAACGATCCAGCGCACCCTTGCCATAAAGGATTTTAGCTCCGCGGCCATGCCCCTCGTGTTCAACAGCTTCTTCATCGACAACAACCGCGTCTATAATGTCATCGCCCGTTCTGATATCAGGAATCTGCATAGAAAAGATAAACTAAGTGAAATGGCCTGTGTGATTGCATTACATACAATTGCCAATTTCCCCGATGAGCAATGATCATCACTGTCGACTCATCACCCCCAAACTAAACACTATACACACATATATAGAGAGAAGGAAACCATCTAAGGCTAGCCTAGGTGGTCTGTCAGGGTACGGTCAGGTGTAGGTTGGTCTAGGATTCAAATGCTACTAATATAACCCAGAAAAGAAAGACAACATAATATGTATGACACAGTGAGATGCATGCGTATATACAGTATCGACTAGCTCTCTGATCATGCCACTGTCAATATAAAATATTAAATTGGTAGTAAGTTATATAGTTTACAAAATATGAACGGTGCAAATGGGGCGCTCTAATTAGAGTAATTATAAGTGTAAAATCACAAAACTGCAATATATGCAGTTCTTCACAAATTGGCTACAGAAAGAAATTGAACCCTAACTACCATGTAATGCTATTAAGGGAAAACCAATGCAGATCCTATATTATAAAGGCCACTGTAATATACCACACAAAAACAATTAACATATTCTTATTATTTTTACTTCATATATATATATATATATATATATAGAGAGAGAGAGAGAGAGAGAGCTTGCACATGACTTAGGTCTCATGGTCCACTTCAGATACAGTCTTCGTTAACATAAAATTAGGGAAGCCATGCTAGGG